AATCCGAAGTCGCGGTTCCCTCTGCCCACGCATTTGTCCAGAGGTGTCGTCGCACCTGGAGCAGGGCTAGACAGACCCTCCTCCAGGTGGGGGCGCGCACCAAGGCCAAAGCTGATCGCCACCGGTCGAGGCCTCCTGTCTATGTCGTCGGTCAAAAAGTGTGGCTTTCATCTAAGAACATTCCTCTCCATACCGTTTGTAATAAACTTGCTCCTAAATTAATTGGCCCGTTTACTGTCACCAAGATTATTAGTCCGGTGGCGGTCCGCCTTAAACTGCCTGCTGCGTACAGGAGGATTCATTCCGTTTTTCATGTTTCCAAATTAAAGCCCGTTTTTCATGCTACCATTAATCCGCTATTAATGACTCCAGTTCCCCCACCGCCGCGACTTGTAGATGGGGAACCTGTTTATTCGGTGAATCGTATTCTGGACTCTAGGCGGAGGGGACGCGGTTTCCAGTACTTGGTGGACTGGGAGGGTTACGGTCCAGAGGAGAGGAGTTGGGTGCCTGCAAGAGACATATTGGATCACTCTCTTATAGATGATTACAATTGTCAGGTAAGTTCCTCTGGGAGCGCCAGGAGGCGCTCTTAGTGGAGAGGGTACTGTCACGGTTCATGGGTCTGTGTGCTCATTCTGTGTCTGTGTGTGTGTGTGTGGGTGTTATCCGCTCCATGTGCTCGTCAGTGTTGCCTAGTTACCGCACACCTGACGAGCTGATCAGAGCGGTCACAGGTGTAGCTCATCTGCACTGCCTATATCTGGCTGACGTTTCTGTGGAGTGTTGTCAAATCGTTGTTGCTCATGTCTTGTCTGGTTCTCTGTCAGCCCTTGTCGTTCCTGAGTGTATTCCCGCCGGTTACCTGTTGCCTGGAGGGTTTGGACTGTTCGGAGTATTCTCTGCCTGAGCTGAGACTTTGCACTGCCGGGTTACCTGCGCTTCTACTTGATGTAGTTGGAGTTGTCTAAAATACTTCCTTTTCACTCGCTATTGGATCTTGTGTTTCTGTTTCATGACAGTTACTCATTAATAAATTAACTCAAGTCAAAATAATTTTGTAAATTACTTTTTATTGTAAATCCCATTTTTTCATCTTTGACCTAGAGGAATG